AAAAAAAAAAAAAAAAAAAAAAAAAAAAAATCATGGAAAAGAAAATACATGCTCTTACCCTAGCCCTAGACTCCAAATTTCCCTTGTCAATCCTCTTCCTAATCCCTCTACTTATCCTCTTCACCCTATCCCGATACCGGGCCAAGCGCTACCCTCCCGGGCCCCGTGGTTGGCCCGTTATCGGCAACATGGACATGATGGGCCAGCTGACTCACATCGGGCTGGCCCATCTCGCCAAGGGCTACGGTGGCATCTTCCACCTCCGCTTGGGCTCCCTCCACATGATAGTCGTGTCGAGCCCAGACACTGCCCGCGAAGTCCTCCAGGCCCACGACAACATCTTCTCCAACCGGCCCGCAACTGCCGCCATACGCTACCTCACTTACGATCGGGCCGACATGGCCTTCGCGCACTACGGGCCCTTCTGGCGACAGATGCGCAAGTTGTGCGTAATGAAGCTCTTCAGCCGTAAACGGGTCGAGTCGTGGGCCTCGGTTCGGGATGAGGTGGACGTGATGGTCCGGGCCGTGGCCGAGGCCGCCAGCTTGGGGAGGCCCGTCAATGTGGGGGAGCTCGTGTTTGGGCTGACCCGGGATGTTATATACCGAGCCGCATTCGGGTCGGGCTCCAAGGAGGGCCGGGAAGAGTTTATCAAGATCTTGCAGGAGTTTTCGAAGTTGTTTGGCGCGTTTAATGTCGCGGATTTTATTCCGTGGTTGGGTTGGGTTGATTTGCAGGGTCTCAAGGGGAGGCTCGTCAGGGCCCGGGATTCGCTCGACAGGTTTATCGACACTATAATCGACGAGCATATGAGAAAGGAAAAGCCCGACGGGCCCGTGGATAGCGACATGGTGGACGAGCTTTTGGCTTTCTATAGTGATGGTGATCAAGGAAAGGTTTCAGAATGCGAGGAGTTAAAGAGTTCAATCAAACTTACAAGGAATAACATCAAAGCTATAATTATGGTATGAATAAACAACAAATTATTTTCAGAAACTTTTAAGCCATGCATATAGTAAAAAAACAATAATGCTAAGGAACCAACTGCTGACTCCGTTACGGAGCCAATAACCAATAAGATAGGTCCATGTGAGATTGTCCCACATGGCTCTAATGTGGGAGCCCCACATGGAGCTGTCCCATTGATTGTTGGCTCCGTAACGGAACCAACAGTTGGCTCCTTAGCATTACTCAGTAAAAAAAAGGTTTTAGAAACTTTAAGAGGACACATAATACAAAATAATACCCATAGTACATTAAAGTAATCATTCCTCGAGGTTTATAACCGTTAAATTATCATGTAACCGTCGGGATAGTTGATCTAACTGTTACAAACCTCGAGGAATAGTTTCGTAACGGGACCATAGCATCTCCCTACTATATATGTGTTCGATCTGTAAATTAATGGAACATTTTTGGTAGACGATACGACGTAGCATCTCACTTTTTA